CGGGGGTGCCCGGGCCGAGGGCGTGCGAGGGGGAGTGACTCCCTGCGCGAGGGCGTGAGTGGTGTGTGTGGAGGGGCGCGCGCGAGCGGGGGGTGGGGTGGGGGCGGGGAGATGAGGCGAGCTGGCGCGTCTCGGGGCGAGTGGAGGAATCCGAGGGTGTGCCTGGAGGGGGCCGAGGGAGCGACGCGGTGTGAGCGCGTGTGCCGGCGAGGGTGGGCACGGGGAGCGCGTGCCAAGGTGAGCTCGGCTCGGGGGGTGGGGACGGAGCGGGGACGGACGCGGGAGTGTGATCTCGGGGACTTGGGTGCGGGGGCCCAGAGAGAGGTGGCAGAAGAGCCAGCGTGCGCGCGTGCGGCGTGTGTGGACCGAGGCGTGTGTCTTTACCACTGACTGTCCACGCGACAGCAGCACCTGCAGCCGAGCCCGGCCATCTGGGGAGTCGGAGCCGTCCCCGTGCCACCTTCCCGGCGCACGCTGGCTCTGGGCTCCGCGAGCCGGGGCAGAGAGGTCCCAGGGCGGAGGACACCCTCGGCCCTGACGGCCCTCTCCTACCGTGCGTGAGGGCACGACCCTAAGGTAGGGGGCTCGCCCTCAGGTCTCACCACGTGTACCCGGTCCGCGAGTCTGGACAGGAAGGGTGAACTCTCAACCCGAGTCGTCCAGTCCTTCAATCTCTCCGGGACGCCCGGGAATCTTCAACGTCTCGGCTGAGGATAAAGAGCCGCCAAGCTCCGGGACCCCGGCGTCCCTGGGCATCCCGGCCGAGCGTTATCCGGTCCAGACGCGCACACCCCTGGGGGCGACACGCTGAGGGTTCAGTCCCTGCACGCCGGCGCCTCCAGCTTTCCGCGGGTCCCTGGTCTGGGCGCCGGGAATCCCGGGACCTGGGCCTGGCGCGGGGGAGGCGAGACGCTGAAGTCAGCAGGGACCGCTAGGCGGGTCTGGAGCGATCGCTGCTGGGCGTGGAGAGGCGTGCGCCGAGACCGAGACCGAGACCAGGGCAGAGTGGGGAGGAGGGGAAGTGCTGGAAAGGCTGGTGTTGGGCTGGGGGGCTGGGAAGGAACCCTGAGCCCAGAACTGGACTTCTGTTCTGGGACAACCCTATGCCAAAGCGGGTGGGTCATTGTGTTCTAGGCCCCTGGGGGCCCCGGGCAGCGCCAGACCCCCTGCTCACCCACCCCTCCCACTCTGTACAAAGCCCCGCTTGGTGTGTACGTCTGAAAGGTGTACAATTGGCCCATCAAGAGGTGGGTGTGGGCTTCATTAGCATTTGCCAGAGTCCCAGCGTGGTGTGAGATTTGCATAGTGATTTGCATACAGTAATAATGATTAACAACACTGCCACTCCCTGGCAGACAGGGGAAGGATTCAGGGAAGGCCCTGGCACTGCCCCTGCCTCCCTCCTTCCTTCCCCCTGGGGAAGAGCTAATTTTCTCACAACTTCTGCCCCCACCTCTTGGACCCCTAAAAGGCCTGGGACTCTTGGTGGCCGATCCAGGGAGAGACACTTTCTTCAGTCCTCCATCAGGATGGCTAACTCGGAGCTCAAACACACTATTTTATTTCTTCCCAGGTTTGAACGCCTCTGCATTCCAGCCTTGGTTTTGCATCTAAGGTGTGGTTCTGGGCTGCATCCATCCCAAAGCTGGGAGGTTGTGAAGACCTCAGCACATTAGCTGGTGGGGGTGGGGGGAGATAGGCAGAGGGCCTTCCTCTTGTTCAGTATGGGACAGCTCTGTCCTCCTGGGCCTTGTGAACCCTGATGGAAGGTAGGACACCCTTCAGATACAGCTCCCCACGCTCCGCTACTGAGCCCAGCCTGGCACCTCGTTGTCAAGGGAAGGAACTCTGGACTCTGCTTTCCTTTCGAGACCATCTAGAGGAAAATAGAGAACTCTTGAGTCTCTAGGTTACTTACCAGTCCTTCCCGCAGCCAGGTAACCTGGAAAATGAAAGCAAATGACATGCAGAAGGTGCCCCTTGGCCTGGGCAGCTGCAGGAGGCCCAGCTGGGGGCTTTCCCTCACTTCCCTTCTCTCCCCCCCCCCAGCCCCCCAAGTTCTCCTCTTCAGGCTCCGCTTGGCCTCGCCTTCCCCCTCTCTGCCTCTGGCCTGGCCTGGCCGGGATTTTCACTTGCTTTTCCCCCATGACGCGGCCGCTTTTCTTTTAACTCTCAGTTTCTATTTAAAAAGCTAATTTGGGAGCTTGTCGATGCTCCCAATTCAGACATTTTAAATAGGAACTGCAAGTCAGGAGCTGCCAGGGCACTAGATCTCCTCCCTTTGCCACCGGCACAGCCAAGGTATTTGTTCAGCTACTGCTCTGGCCCTGACCACTGAGAGTGAGAGTGTGTGTGTGTGTGTGTGTGTGTATGTGTGTGTGTAAGAGAGCGTGAGTGCTGTCAGGGTGTATTTCAGGCAATCTTTTCTATTTAAAGACGGTGCTCCAACTGACGACTGTTCCCGGTGTGTGTGTCCTTTCCAAGCCATGCACACATGAGGATTCTTCCCCAGTCCCATGGCTCTGGCCACTGTTTGCAGAGCTTGTCACCGCGTGGACGGTGAGAATGAGAGGCAGCCCAGCCCAAAGTAGCAGCCTCTTTCCAGCACGCCAGGCTGGTTCCCAGGTTCCCAGGACTGCTCTGCCGGGCCTGGCTCCGTGAATGGCACCTCAGAATGTCTACCCTCTGCTCGCAACTGCCCTACTTCAACTTGCCCCAGCAGGAGGCAAGAATTTGGCCAGTGGGACTGCACCTCTGAGGATGCCAGCTTTGGACATTCAGCGAGCTGTGTACCTGGGACATCAAAACACACAGACTCTGAGGTCAGACTGCCTGTGTTTGAACCTGTCCTGTTATCAGTAGCTGTGTGACCTTGGAGAAGCAACTTAACCTCTCTGTGCCTTCATTTCCCTTGAAATGCAACATGTAGTAGTATTCTCAGTGTAGGGTCATTGTGAAGACTAGTAATTATCACAACTGAAGCACTAGGACAGTGCCTGGAACATGAGTACTAGGTAATTGGTGGTGTTGGCTCACGGCAGGGATGGGGAGGAAGGTGGAGTGCTGGTCTTCACACACACACCCATGCCCCCATCACCACCACCCCTTCATATAACAATAAAAATGCCAGGCCATTGCTCTCAAGTGTCAAGTTCACCTTGTTGAGATCTTTGATGCTCTAAGCTCAGGAGAGGGAGACTGTTGATGAAGGGATGGAGGAGAAGTCACAGAGTCTGCTTAGGTTTAGGGTCCTCTTTCTTTGACCCTGCGTGGCCCCCCACCCCTATTCCCAGAACTGGCCACAAGTCCATGTGTTCCTCAAGCACTGAGTTCCTGTCACCTCAGTCCCGGAGAATCTCATCAGGCAAAGAATGGTTGAGACCTGCCCAGGGTCTCGCTGCTAGGGACTCAGGGGGCCACTAACAAAGAGGATAAAAGAATGAGGCTGAAAAGCTGTGTCAGGAACCCAAGCAACACCCCCAGTCCTACATCAAAGAGCTCCTGTACGCAGTGCTCTGGTTGGGTCTCCAGTGAGGCTGGCTGAAGAGCAGCCCTGTCCTGTTGTCAGGAAGACGCCACTCGGGGGATGCACAAGAGCGTGACCCAGCCGCCCACACACTCCAGGCTCCTGAGACCTCGTGTTCATTGGCCTCCGGGGAACTCTGACCTGCTCTGTTGAGGTTTTCCATGTTTGACTCCCCAGTTTGGGTATTGGGTGAGGACTTGGCATGGGGTTGTACGCTCTGAGTTTTCTTGGGGGTGAATCTTCCTGAGGCACTCCAAAGCTGGTGATGCCTTGGTTTGTGTCATTTTTAAGATGAGGTAGGTGGTGGAGTTATAAATGCCGAGGGGCTTTGCCCCAGTCCCAGAAGCCAGGAGCCCAACCTGCTGGGCATTGGGTCAAATTCCAGCACATTCTGCACAACACAGGAGACCCTGGAGGCTGAACTGTCACAATCACTAGGTGTTTCTGGTCCTTTCCTGAGAGAGGAGGGGAGCCCTCACTTCCTTGGAAAGCCTCATTTGCCTCCCAGGGGGCCTTCTCTCTGCTCCAGCTGACACAGATCCTGGGGAGGCATACGCTGGGGCGGCTTCTGCTCATGGAGCCCCCTGCCCCCCAGCAGAAGCTCGGTGAAGGAAAAGGAGGGAAGGGGTGAAGAGAAGCAAATATCAGCAAGTGCCACAGCCACCAGAAGTAAGAAATAAATAAAAACAAAGACACGATAGTGTCAGTGTCTTGCAGGAGACAGGTTGGGGAGGGGTCGAGGTTGAAGGTGCCATTGTAGGTGTTTTGTTTCCTTTGGTGGCTTCTTTTGTGAATTCCCTGGTGTGCCCCGGGGCTCTATCCTTGGTCTTCTCTGCTCCCCAGCTGCAGGTGCATTCAGGCACTGACACCCCTTCCTGCGTTGCCCCCCCCCCCCGCTGTCTCGGGCGTGTGCATCCCATGTTGGCACACAGCACCTCTATGCTTCACTTTTCCAACCTCTTCAACCTTTTGCAATAGACAGTTTCCTCTAATCATGCCATCTTCCTCACTTCTGTTCTGCGCACGCGCACACACACACATTTCTTGTTGTCACGGAGACCTCTGTCACCTGACCAAATCACCTCCTTCCACCCCTTTGTGCTACCTTCCAGAAATGTGCCCACCACTTCCTGGTTTCCTGACTTACTAGCCAGCTTCCACTGGGCCCAAGGTCACACATGCAGTCTTGGTAACACCCACCCCCACAGCCCAGGGGAGCCACCATTCTGCCTTAGGACAGCCACAGTCCTTCCTATACTCGTTACTTCAGCTGCTTGATGGTGGTCTCCCCCTCGGGCTCTAAGCTATTTCAACCCAGGGCCACGTCTTGGCCATCTTTGAACGTGCTCCTTAGTGTTTGGTATGCTGCAGGCAGACGATCGATCAATTTTCTTTAGGAAATTATTTTAATTTTCACATGTGATGAATTTGTCAACTGGCCAGTCTCAGGCGCCACCTGATTGATCTTAAGCCCTGGCATGAGGACAGAGAGAAAGGAGGAGGGGTTCAATTTTTGGTTGATCCTAGATGAAAAGAGCCCCAAACCACCCTCCTAACATTTTCGGATCCACAAAATGAACCTCAGTAGATGCTTACTGCTCTCCAACCAGACTGGTTTTCAGACAACTCTTTCCTGTCCTTTCTGGCAGAATGTCAGTCACCTTCCTAAAACACCACCTCTGTGGGGATGCCCGGATGTGGGCCCTTGAAATAGTACTTAGTTGCTTGCAGCTGTGACTGCACTTGTCATAAAGCCAGCCTGGGGGCCAGTCACAGGAGATGTCAAGACCAAAGCTTGCTGGACTTTAAATATAAAATGCATGGAAACCACAACAGGAAACCTGAACAGGGGAGACCTAGCAGTGAGAACATGGGCTCCAGAAAGCCTGGCTTCAAATCCTAGCTTGAATTCACAAGCTGTGTGACCTTGGTGAGCCCTTTGCTTCTCTGATCTTCCGTTTCCTCACCTATAAAATAGTCTGAAAAGATGGCATTGACTCAGGGGTTTGGTGACTACTGAGTTACATAATGCATACGGCATGTGCAATTACAAACCACATTTTTGGATGTTATCACATCATGACTGAGTTTATATTTGTCCAAAGCATCCTCTTTTAACTCTTGGGCACACTTCTTTACCTGGTTCTCCAGCTCTTGTTTGTGGCGAGTTTAGACGGATCATGCAAGTCCTTCATGTGGTTTTTGCTCATACTAAAGCTGCAGGAAATGTGGGACTAAGAGAGGTTTAGCCCCACTGACACATTTTTTTATTGGGTCTTCTCTGGTGGCACTCCATTTCTGCAGTCTTGAGATTCAACTGCCTGTAGCCCCGATTCCTTCCTCATCAGCAAGAACTGACAATCATTTGAAGTAATGTGGAAGTGACTTATCTCATCCTGAGATACAGTCTTCACATTTCACAAAACAGACCTGTGAGCCAAAACAATAAAATAGAATGGGTGG